TATCAACATTGAAAGTATTCCTGATAAAACTGAAATTTTCAGAACACATGGGTAAAGGTGCCCCCTATGAACTACCTCATTGTCTGTCGGAGCTTAACCTGGCTGCAACCTGTAATTGCACCACACCATTGCATTTATACTACAGAAAAGGACTCGGAAATTGCTCTGGCTAAAGTACATGCCTGATGTGCCTATAAAAAAATTCTTATAAAACTAAGGAGAAAAAAGTATATATATAAAACAAATATTCGAGATTTTTTCCGGATCATAATCACTTCCATTCTGGATCAACAGTTTACTTCTCAGAGTGTCAGGTTAATTCTCCCCCATGTTCAATTCTGACCATGGTATAAAATAATATACAAACATAACATCATTTGAATACAGTGGTTTAAATTTCATTTTCAACTCACCTGAGCTAAACGACCAAGTGGGTTAGCTTCTCTGATCATCTATTCTCCACCATCAGTCCGTCTACAAACTTCTCACATTTTAAACTTCTCAAAACCAACTGAACTATTTCTCCACCATCAGTCCGTCTATAAACTTCTCACAATTTAGACTTCTCAAAACCCACTGAACTCTTTCTTTTTTTAAACAAGGTTCTTGGGAATGTTACATTCCATATTGCTTCCAATGAGAGATAATCAAGAAAATGCAAGAAAAGAATGGGTCATTAAACATCTTTTTAACAATAATGGGACGCGAGGTTCCTTATGGTTAAGTTTGGTCCACTTTTCTTTCATGAGGGAAAATATATTGAAAATTTGGAAAAGAAAATCAGAACCAAGACTACAGTAAGCAGGCGAGCATTATGGCCAATGCGCCTTCATGCTATTCAATGCTTCTGAAAGTATTCCTGTAGTTTGTTGCAACACTATGAAAATCTGCAACAGCTGGCTGTATCTAAAATAATATAATGTTCAGTCACTAAACTTCCCACACAAACTGCTATCACTTCTAACTGAATTTAAATCATGTTCAACTCTCATGAGTACTTTCAGTACTTTGATATCTCGTTGCAATCTTAAGGTTTTCCATCCCTAATAGAACCTAATTTTCTATCCTTAAATATCCATCACGTATATAATACTCTGATATTAATTCAAAGCATTTTACAGTAGAAAAGGATTTACCAAGAGAAAATTTCAAAAATGTAATTAACTAAGCAGTAATCAATTAAAAGAAATTGCATTGAAGTCTATGGAGACAAGCGATTTTTTTAAAATAAAAATTCAAATAATAAGAATATCAATAAATACTGTGATGGAAAGATGCATTTAATTATTAGGAATAGAATGACAATTGAAAACAATTTTTTACCGCATAGATTTTGTTAAAAATTGATTTTTATTACTTAAAATAAGAGGGGGATTACTCTTTAACAAAGGTCAAGGTCATAAATTAGGACACATTCCATTCTTACATGCTAAACGTAATAAATGGGAATTATGTCTAAATATACTGAGTATTACCCCCGTACACATCTGTTATGTTTTCAAATTCATTGAATCTGAGGCTATCAGGGATGGAATACCTTAGTTAGATTTTAGCGAAATCAGTCCCAAAAATATAAAATGATACATTCAAAATGAATTATACCAGGCAATAAGGCTTAATTAATTTCTTATAAACAAACGAACTCTAATTTTTAAATTCACTATTACATCATGTAGAGTGTCTGAATACAAATACCTAGATGTAACATTTTATTGTTCCTCAGACTCTTAATTTTTCCTTTGCTCAAAAGCATTAAAAGCATTTGTTAAAAACAGGGAGAAAATAATTTCACTGAATCTAGACTTTAAAACCATTATTCACAGTTTTGACACTTTTAAAACCTATATTTTTGTATGCATCTGAAATTTTGGAATTTTAACCCATTTACTAAAAAAATAGCATTTCTGGCTGAACTATTGACAGGATATTCTCCAAGTTAATCTGTGAAAAATTTCATCTGAAATTTTGTAAATCAATACTTGTTGTATATAAATCTGAAACTAATTTTGTTGTATTATCTGAATTGGGTAGAATTTCCCTACATTTTGACATTCTACTATCTATGATAAATTATTGGTATGGGCTAATAATCTACTAGGTCAGTCTTTTCCACTTTTAAAAGATGTATATTGTGAATCTAAGTCACTATTTGAGAAAATCTTCCTTCCTGACATAGCTCCATTAATTTTCTCATCACCAATATACTGTAGATGGTATTTGTGATCTAACTTCAATCATTACATCATATAGAGAAATGCTGTCCACTTTATTCATGAATTAATGGTGACGTGTCCGTTAGATGATATTCTCATCATGTTATGTCAATAATGAAATTTCATACTACTATTTTCCATGGCCAAAAAATATTGCATTTTTCCCACTAGGAGTGTCGATCAATTTTTCTAAACTCTATCTCTTATGTGATTTTCAACTTCAAAAAGAACCATCTTATTATCTTAGAAACTGAAAGTACACGTTCAATAACTTCACCTAAGATGAGGACGAAAAAAAAAAATAGCAAATATTTTTAAATTAACTTGATAAAGACCTTTCAAGCTCTTTTACCACATTTTCTGTATCATTGTAATGAAGCTTCGCTTCAGATTTTCAAACTCAAAAGGACACATCAACTTTCTGGCATTTTGGGGGAAAAAGTGCATTCCGATCCAGTACACATTAAATGATAGAGCCAAATGAGGAAGAAATTATTCCGAATTGATATTTTTTTAGTCTCTGTTTTTCCCCGTATGTAATGCGTTGAACAAAAATCTGCCATACTAAAAACAATATGACCACCATGCAAATTAGAAAAAACGTACACTTTTTCTCTTTATGTAAATTCATCCGTGTATTTAATTTTTTTTTACTCAAATATTGTATAAAGGAATGGAATTCACAGACTGTATCGCATGCTAAGTTGCTACAGCTTTTTTAAACGAACTTTTGGTCACGAAAAATACCATAAATTACTGGAAAAATTTCAGCAGAAGAGAAAACTAACACGTTTTCATATATATATATATATATATATATATATATATATATATATATATATATATATATATATATATATATATATATATATATATATATATATATATATATATATATATATATATATATATATATATATTAGATATGTCAAATCGGTCAATATTTAATAATCGGTTACTCGGACGTTTTTCCGATCGAGTACCCGGGTACTCGGTAAAAATGAAATAAAAAGTGTGTTCTTGAGCCCCGTTTAGCTCTGATAAACCCCAAAGCTGTTTTTATCACGTTTATTAATGTATATAAACATCGAGTCCAACGGAAATGATTTTTGCTACTAAATTTATTTATCAAATAAATTAATACACCAAAAATTACAAATGGTTTACAGTTCTTGTTTAGGATCTACTAGTATTTTATCAATGCAAAATGAGGACAATCTGTTGCGCAGGTTTGATGATCAGACTAGCGAAAGAGAAGGAACAGAATTTGTTGGGATCGTTTAATATTATTTCATATGTTGTTGTTTCCCCCGTATACACTAAATTTACGACGCAAACTGACTCAACATTTTCTTATTCTTTAGTTATTTCTAAATATTTCTTCACTTTTGAAGTGGGTAGCGGCATTTTATGCATGTCCGATTTCGCTGCCGTATATTAACTAAATAATTTTAAAATGATTTAAAGATAATGTCATAGACCATACATAAATGATGTTCACTGAAAACAATCATTGAAGCCATCCAATAATTAAGGACCACAATACGTGAGAACAGCTGTGTACGAAATGATTGGTCACTAATTACTGTATATACACAGGCGATAACGGATGTTTTACGGGGGTTTGCCAAACGGAGATCAGACTATAATTGCTATCAAAACATATTTCACACTTATTGTTCCATACCTAATTATCGAATTGGTGCAAAACGGGAACACACCTTTTACGGGTGTAGATGACGACACGCTAATTACCGTATGCACCTTTAAGTTATTTTTTGATAAGTTTTTGAAAAAAATATGTAGTTTGAAATAAGAAAAAATATACATCCGAGTAACCGAGTACCATGATACTCGGACGTTCGATCGAGTACCCGGTTAACCGGGTACTCGTTGACATCCCTAATATATATATATATATATATATATATATATATATATATATATATATATATATATATATATATATATATATATATATATATATATATATATATATATATATATATATATATATATATATATATATATATATATATATATATATATACCATTTAAAAGTTATGGACAAATTAGAACAAACCTTACCTCTCTGACTCTGTAGAATCGTGACATCCTCTTAGTCATTTGCTTCTGACATACAAAATTATGAAGCATTAATGTTGTACATACTTTTAAAAGTTGTGAACAAGGTTACATTATTTGAATTTTATAGAATCCGTCATTTATATCAACTCACTTTTAGTACTTTGATTTCTTTTTTTCTTCATTATATGATGCGATATATACAATCAATCTGTCAAATAATTAATCACGATTATGTATTAAAATTGTTATTTTTTAAATAGTAAATTTCTTTTTACAATACAATTGAAAATTAAAGATTTTCAAAACATACTTTATACGTTCATCGATTTTAAATTCAAAAGAAGTTACGAGCCGGATTGAAAGCATCGTGTAATTAAATATAAGTATACTTCTATTTTTTTTTTATAATTAGTAGAACATTGCTATATTGGTGAAGTGAAAATTAATGAGGCAAATGTTTCTTCAATAAAGCTCCACCCACATCAAACTTACCTGAGGAAAACTGACCGGTTGAAAATCTCAATCAGTTCATGCTGAGAACAGAAGCAATATAAATATGCAAATAAAATAAAAATTCAAAAAAAAAAAAAAAAAAAAAACAGAGGTAAACTTTTAATGCTCCTTGAACAAGTTGAAAAACATGGTCATGAATGCCTTGAGCTTAATAGTAATGCGGTTTCGTGTGCAAAATATTATAATTTAATGCTGATATTTTATTTTCTTCACTTGGTTGTATCTCATTTCAGAAACAAACAGATTGTCATTTGTATCTATGCACAGTCCAAAGGGATGCCTCAGTCCACGGTTTATGAAGCAGAGGAACTTTCCATCCTGGTTTATTATGTGAACACAGTCATTGTCATAATCAGCAGTTAGGATTTGACTCCGACTGTCTGTTGTGATCCCTTTGGGATTGAACGGATAACCTTTTGGAGAGGGTGTTTGACCTCTGTAAGTGAATCTCAGTTTTCCAGCTTGGTTTATCACTATCACTGATTTATCATTGATGTCAACAACGCAAATATCCAAGTTCTTGTTTTCACTGATGCAATATTGATTATGAACAGGATGTTCATAGATAGAGGTTCTCTCTTTAAGCAGTATGGTTTGTTTTTCTGTAGAGCCAGAGTAACGAACAACTTTTAACCTCTCATCTTTTTCACTGTGCATGATAACTAGAAGATCTCCACAAGAGGTAGTGCAGACTCCGAAAGGTCTCCAGTTTTCTAGTGTGATGGCGTCAGTGGTTTCGTCTTTTACAGTGTTTATTCTTTTATCATTTGGATCAGTATAAACCAGATCGCCATGTTTTGTTACTGCAATGCCTCCTGGTCTTTTCCTTGATGTGGTCTGTACTGATCTGAGTAATTTGCTCTGATTGACGCTGAATATATACATTTTATCTTCAGCTCCCCCTGTCCAGATTTTATCATCATTTAGGTATGCTACAAAGTAAGGACCAAATAAAAATGGAAAATCAATCTTAATGGTGCTGACAATTTTTGCTTTATGAAGAAACTGTGTAACTGGAGGTAAAATCACTGCTTCTTGTATGGGTTGTTCTGACTTCATGCAGCAGTCATTAACCCTTAGATAAAGGATTGAATCTTTGCCATGTAATTTACTGCCAGGGTAGAGGGGATTGGGTTTTCTTTTTTGAAACTTGACAACTTTATGGACATTGGATTCATCAGCTGAGACGTGTTCTCCCACACAGGCCTTGCATATAGGTTTATATAACATGTATTGCAGTACATCTGTACAACGGCGGATTTGCACAATTCACATCTTATAACATCATGGGCACTGGTGCGTGGATTCATTGTTGTGTTTTATCTTTTAAAAAATATGAAAAAGAGCCATTAAGATTCTGGGTCGTCATTTTGCTTAGAATTAAATAAATGTTTTGACGTTTGTTTTTTCTGCATAAAACCTTTTTTGTTTACCATTTTAAAAATATTTGCAGGAATTTTCATTTAATTTGAATTCACGGTTTAACGTAAAAAACACTCTTCCAAACAATAAAGGCTGTTTGCTGGAAAAGTTTGTAAGTTTCACTTTGAATATTTTATCAAGAATTTATGAAGTTCGAAGTTCAATCCAGATATAAATTTGATGCCTCTTCAGACTTGTTGTTTTTAAATGACTTGTTCATCATTTCCCAAAGTTTGTTGTCCTCTATTAAATACACAATTTATTATTCATCAAATATCATACAAATTGGCCTTTCCATTTCTGTTGTCAAAAAATCTTTGAGATCCTATTTTTTAATGTGGATTTTAGATATATTTTCTGATATCATTTCTAAGTTTTAAATATTAAAGATGTATACCTTAGGTGTGCTAAAGCAAATCCCTCCTTAATAATTCACAGACCACTTCTTGTACTTGTTAAATAAGATACGATGATCTTGTCAAACTGCATGTTTACCTGATAATCTCTTGATCACATGACAGTTATTGATTTTTTAAGAGGTAACGTTATACTTCGTTTTCCTGTACAAATAGGATTTTTGTTACACAATATGTGCACTGCACAGAATTTACTCTTTATTCATTTCAATTTCTTTTCACAAACACATGTAAGTTAACTTTGTATATTTCGTCTTTTTTAAGAAAAAGCCTGACACATATTTTAAACATTATAGAAGAAAAGAGCTCTCTCACTTTCCTTCTTCTCTCTGCTCATAAATTCTGCTTGATAATCAATACTTATCTGTGGTTGCTAAGGATTCTTGTTTGTAATACAGTATACTAAATATTTGAGTGATTTATTATGATTTTAACTTTTTTATCTTAATTTAAGTAAAGCAGAAACAAAAGAACTTAAATAATCACAAGCAAAACAAAGTGAATTTTAATAGGCCTAAACATATAAATATCATAATACATGAACAGGCTTTTTAGCTCACCTGAGCCTCAAGACTCAAGTGCGCTTTTCTGATCTTATGGTCTCCGGCGTCCGTCTGTCTTGTGTCATCTGCTGTCTGTAAAATTTTTATATTTTCAACCTTTCTTTAAGTTTCTGCTCATTAAATGAAGTTTTGAGAAAAAGGGTATGCCTATACATTTTTTTGTCAATTGAAAGTGACTTGCAGAGTGGTTTAAACAGATAATTTTAATAAATTTAAACAGTACTAACTGATGCCGATAAGCAGATTATATCGTAAGCATTTAAATAAATAAATTAATTTAAAATACTTTTCCTCCAAAAACATAAGATTGTTAAAAGTTATTATTGCAGCACTATCTTTGTAGGCATCATTCAAGACGCTCTAAAACAACATGCGAGCAGAAGTTTGCTGCTTTTTTATTCCAAAAAAAATACGCGGAGTACATAATTTGATTTATATTATGAAATGAAAGAGAAATAAGATTTGGCATTGTGACTATGAACTGACTTTTAATTGGAGACAACATAAGCTCTGAATCTATATACCCCTGGGGTTTCTCCCCTTAGGCCGGTCATTGCTCTCCTCAGCTTGGTTTTTACATGTACTCCTCTCAGCTAGGATATTACTCCCCTAACTACTTATCAAAGAATGTCAACTTGACTATGAAAATAGATAGGTATATTTATATAATATAGAATATAATTTCTGTCTGAAGGTCACCTAAATATAGTTCAACGGGATGGTTGTAGATCAGTCAAGTTTAACCAGTTGCCATACTTTGAAAATGAGCATACTTAAAGTAAGTAATTTATGACATGTGTACATAAATTATTTTGACATGTGTACATAACTTATTTTGTATACAAACTGTATAAAAAAAATCAATCAACACCCGGGTCATCGGGCCTATATGCCACTTTAAACACAAAATTGAAATACAATATATAAAGAAAATAAAAAGCACAACGTTAAGAGATAAAACATAAAAGTACATAAAAATATACATAATGATGAAATATATGCATTTTGTGAGTATTTGTATGCTAAGGTTGGTAGGGTCTGTCATAAAAATTATTGGTAAATAAATATGACACAGAGATACATTTAATAATGAACATTCTTATTTTCCGAAAATAACTGACTCTCTCCGTATAAACCAATTAAAATACAAATAATTTGCAACCTGTCGAGGATAATTTGAAATAAGTATACGTAGTGTATGCATATCAGACCATTCTTGCATTTGATTAAAACCAGCCCAGTGTTTTCAAAATGTATTGACCGGTACTCAGAGTACAAATGACAGTGCAATAAAAAATGTATTCGTCTTCTACGTTTGCTCACTTCTAGAGCAAACGGTGCAAATTCGATCCTCAATAGATTCATATGGCACGCCGATTGCTTCAAAATTATTTTCTGCACGACCTTAAACAAAAATTACACGAGTAAGTAAAAACTTACACAAAGTGGGGAAAATATACACGAAGTTATTGAAATATACACAAACTATAGAAAAACTGCACAATCAACAAAATATTTGCACGAAATAGTGAGAAAATTACACAAACGTAAAAACGAAAACTGCACGAGTGAGAATACAACATCGACATAATACGCAACGCATCCTCATTGCGCACATTTCATTAATATTCATTAGAGAATAGGTCAATGTGGCTTGGATGCTTGAAACATACTATAAATACAAAAGGAGGAGTAAAGTGTTAGTAATCTTTTTATATAAGATTCTTTTAAAATTCCGTTAGACTCTCAAGAATATGTACAACGTATATTATACATGTAGATAAATTGACAGGCACACATTCTTAAACTTGTAGTATATGAATACTCCTGAATAAAAAACATTCTACAAAGAATACATGTATAAATACCGTAAAAAAAGGGGGGTGCATATTACAGTTGTGTTTAATTGTTGGATTTTTTTAGTAGGTCATTCCTCTATATAGCAATTTCTTTTGAAAGTTTAAAACTATGACATATAGGCATAAATTAAAATAAATAAAAACAGCATGTGATATAATACAGGAGAGTTAACAACAAATCAAACTCTTCTCCTCCACCACTCACTGAGTGTACTTTTGGTAATAATCAAGGATGTGCATGCGTAACCTTTTCATACAGAGATCCCCCCCGGCTGGTTCTGGAACGAAAGACACCTGAACGCTAATCGATTTATAGCTATTTCACACACCAATAATACCTTTTGAGTAAAGATTACTGGCAATTCATACAAAGATTTTTAAGCAACGTTGCGATCATCTGGGTTGTGGAATTTGACCGAAAACTTTTTGGAGGTCAACAGTAAAGAAAATCGAGCAAATAATTGCGCAACTGAAATTTTAATATTGAAACGCATATCTCACTTTTTGATATATGTATGTAACAAAGTACATGTAGTACATGTAGTCTTAACTTTTTAGCAACGTGTGGTGATTTCATAAAACTCCATGAAACTGTAGAAAAATTATACAGTCGTTTTACTTATGTGAATTAAAGCTTAATTTTATGTTGTTTTTAAGGTACCGGCGGTAGTCTATTTTGAATAGTTAAAATGCATATAAAGGAGTGAAGAAAATTTAAAATTATAAAATACAGGCACGTAGTATCGTTTTTGAAAGGGGGGAGCCAGATTTTTTTTTTTGACAACCTGAAAAACCCTGACAAGCAACAAAAAAGGTAAAGTGTCCAAACTCGAAAATCCTATTTCGTGGGAAGGGGGGGGGGGGGTTCCACCTTCCACTTTGTTTTCGAAACACATTATAATACCAAATTACTTTGATTTAAACTATCCTACAATAAGGGGGGGGGGACCAGCTTTTCAGTGGACATTTACAATAGAAGTAGGTTATGTTTGGAAAAAAAGGGGGCAAGCCCTTACTGATGCTACGTGCCTGAAATATTTTCTAAGAATTTAAGGGTACATATAATAGTCTATCGAAATCAGGATTGCAATTTAACTGATTTGTAACGATATTGCAAGACCCAATTCAAGAAGATGTAGAAGATGAACTTAATTAGCTGAGACTTGGCTACATGCACATGCATATTTATTTTCAATGCAGATTTTGACAATAATAAATTTGCACACGGTAATTAAACTTTCTTGAAGTTTATATTCATCATATGTTTTCTTATATTTATTCGTAGTCATGGTCGAACTAAAAACAAGACCTGATTGATGCCATTGATACACATGTACAATATATAAAGCAAACTTTTTAATTACTTGTACATATATACGTACAAAATTCATATTGCATAGATTAGGCTTTTTAACTCATAATCTGAATTTTCAAAAATGTTAGATATGCACATGAATAATCTTTTAAAAAGTGGAGCTTGTATCAAATATTTCCTTGAATGTTATTGAAGATTATTTTCATTTTATAATTATACAGTCATGTTCTTTTTATAATGATTATATCTTTGGGTAAAAAAGTGTTATTACAAAAAACAAGTGTTCGGATAATAATTAAAATTTTATGCATACAAATTCGAAATGTAAAGAAAATTTGTTATCTTGGAAAATCTTTGTCAAACCCCGAGCTCCATAAAGAACATGATTTATTTGCATTTTTCAAGAGCGATAAAACACGTTCTATATGTTCTTTCTATTTATTATAATATCCATTCCCATTTTCTTATTTGTAACATTGTACGTAGATGTATTTAGTAATCCACTATTTGAAACTTTAATAAATACACAGATTCAGATGTTGCGACTCAATCAATCCACGAACCAGATCCACCACTAATGTCATTAGTTTTACCGGTGCCAGGATCATTTGAGTAGAGTTTTGTTATTTCATTTGGACAAATTTTAAGTAACAAAACACAAAACTGCATATATATAAAGCACATAGAGTATATATTTTCCCTTTATCTGGTCCTTTTTATTAAAAGTGAAAACATTTATCAAGTAATCGCCATTACGAATGAGGATAACGCTTTCCCTTAGGAATGTTTTGTTTTTTATTGAGCAGTTTTTGACTGAAAATATGCGATATCATGGAAGGAATTCATAACAATGTAGGCTACAGATATCCAACCAAAATTGATATCCTCATATTTTATAAGTAAAGATACATGTATAATTAGAAATATTTTTTTATGTTTGACTTTAAAAACATACTGTGTATATCTAAGGTCAGGTAATCCCCACTTTTTAATCTTTTTGAAAATAAAAAATATATCCAGCTAACTCCCAAATGAAAAAAAAAATCTGTTCAAATGAAATCATAATAAGTACAAATGAGAAGTACCGAAATAAATTCTACAATTTAATGATTATGATCAGCAATAATTCTGCCATCATTTTCATGAAGAATCCACTTTATTAATCGTTTTATTATGCATGTGTTAATGTTATTTTATACAAGTAATTTTCGTTAAAGTTGTATCTATAAGTTGGATAATTTTAAAAGGCCATAGAGCGTATATTTAAAAAAAATAATAATAATTCTATCATTTTTTTAAAGCAAGATCTGTTTATCGTTAGGAATTTAGAGTTTGCTGTGTATTACTTTTAGTTCAGAGTCGAGTGCATTATATGCAATGGTACTTTTTCCCCCACATTATAACACAAACATGCGATTTCTTTCTTGTCACAATTTATATCCGGCATCATATAATACCTCCATATTTTGGCTAGGATCTCGGTCAATATAAGACAAATATAATATCTCCGAACAACTTTTAATTTTTTCACGCAGTTCACAAGAAAACACTTCATTCGTTTAATTGGCATTAGCTAGAAATCGGATCGAGTTTTAGCAAAGAAATAAAGACGCAAACAAACATGCATATCATCGTCAACGCCATTTTCTCTCGATTACATCCAGCATTCAAGAAGAGATAAAGAGTACAGAAAACCAAAACACAATGAATATTGCATAATAATGATATGCGCAGCTGTATGCGCAGCAAAATTGTTTGTGTAATTTTTAGTTTCCTCTGCTAGTGCAGTTTTTGATTTTACGTTTGTGCATTTTATACCCATTAATCGTGTAAAAAATTTCGGATTCGTGTATTTTTCGTTATGTTTGTGTTAAAATCTTTCAAACTATGTGCAATTTTTACCGATACGTGCATTTTTATTTTACTCGTGTATATTTTTCATCAAGCTCGTGTATAAAATCGTGATCGTTGTGCAGAAAATAATTTTGAAGCAATCGGCGTGCCATAGATTCACCGTGATATCTACCAATCTCTTTTCGCAATGGTAAAATCCCACATCTAAACTGCGCCAAAATTGAATGTAAACATTTAGGCATATCAAATACTACATAATTTTCCCTACCAAAAATTGCTTTAATATTAACATAAGTCCATAATTTAGGAATACTATAAATCTCATTACTCCAAAGGTTTGAGTAATAATTGTGTATTTTTAATTGAAACCGTTTTGTTTTCTCGAGGAATGAATGGTTTACCCTTTGGAGAAAATAGTGTGACTTTTGTGCTCGAATCTCAGTATCCAAGCCTGATTGAACACAATTAATGATAAAGCCTCCATACCAACCACAGAGATATCAAAGTTTTGACTGTTGAATTGATCACGAATAGCTGGTAAAAATGGAAAATAGATTGATATGATTCAGCTGATTGTCTCTCCAGGTGCAAAAGCTACAGCCAAAAGTCAAAAACGTTTAAAAAATAGGTTAAACTTCAAGGTCAGGGATCTTATCTCAAAAATGGTAGTACATGTATTTCTTGAAAGGTGATGTCACAGGTTATTTACATGTGAAATATGAAACCCATATTTTCTCTCCCTAAAACGATGTACAATGTTAACATTTTTGAAAAGTAGGTGTGGTCAGGGTCAAGGGTCAGAATTTAAAGTTTAACTTTAACTGGTTCTGACAACACTGGATTGATTTAGAAGTCTGTTGCCAGAAGAAATTTCAAATAAGATAGTCACAAAACACTTGAAAACAGTCCTGGCAATACACAGATGAAACAAATTTATAATAATTATATAGCAATAAACATAATTGTACAGTAAATACATTTGTCTTCCACTCCGTGAACATTTTATCTTGAAAATAAAGTGATAACAGAGCTGTGGATTCGTTGACCAGACTAGAGGAAAATCGAATGTTCCCAATATTTAAAATAATTTATTATTTTGATAAAATGAGAATTTAAAACCTTTGAAATTTGTAATGGTCTGAAGGTTGATATTTTAAAGATATGCACAGATTGTTTCGACAAAATCAAAGGTGTTTTTCACAAAAAAAGAATTTATTATGTGGTTGTTCCACTATCATTGTAGTATTTAGTTTCGTGCAAGTGCTTAAAAAGCTATTAGTTTTTGAATATATGTGGTTGCTGTTTTCCATAGGCAATACCCGTTTGAAAAAGCATGAAATACCCAAAATAAATAATATTGTGAATATATCAAATCATGGCTTCATTTTTACTTAACAATTAAGGAATGTCTTTAAGTTTTGTGTGGGTTATTGGTGGGTAAATCACACAGACTTGTCACGTAGGCATATTTCATGAAGCGCGCTAGCGCTACACACCAATAATTCACACTAAACTTAAAACATTCCTTGTATTTACATTTTACATGTTCAAAAGCATCAAAAATATACTCAATGTTTGAATTATTCGCTGTCCTATATCGTTACATTTTTATTAACGTCTCTGTAGCTCATTGTGACGCCACTTTATCGCGAGTTTCTCCGTGCATATTTCTACACGTGAGTATACACAAATATGGAAAATCAATTTCATAGTTGGCTTATTAGAAAAACATAGCAAATGTAAATATTTTTAAATATGGTCAGATTATTTATTGAAAGTCCACAGACTTTGGTCTCATTATCTTTACATGAATGAGATCATAAAGTTTTCTGATTTAAAATTGAATTGTATCAGGGATGTTAATTATTTATCAATAGAAATATAACTAACAAGATGTGTTTGTGAAACACTGATGCCCCCGCATGGCAACTTACAGCGAAGGTTAAACTTTCTTAAATGCAAATCAAATACGTTGGTACCAAAAGTAAGGTCTTGTACTGAGGAATATACTTGTAAAATAAGAAAGCCCTAGCAGCAACCATTGGAAAGATATGGAAAAGGTTAAAAATTTTCAAAAGTAAGTCAAACATCAAGGTCAAGGTCAAAATTGATGGTGCCCAAGGAAAGGCCTTCTCACAAGAAATACACATGTGAAATATGAAAACCGAAGCACCAACCATTTAAAAGATATGGCCAAGGTTAAAGTTTTTCAAAAGTAGGTCAAACTCCAAGGTCAAGGTCAATGGGCTATAATTGTTGGTATCCAAAGGAAGGTCTTGTCACAAGGATTACACATGTGAAATATGAGAGCCCTAGAGTCAACCGTTCAAAAGTTATAGCCAATGTTAAAGTTTTTCAAAAGTAGGTCAAACTCCAAGGTCAAGGTCAAAGGGTCAAATATGATGGTACCCAGAGAAAGGTCTTGTCAAAAGGAATACACATGTGAAATATGAAAGCCATAGCTTCAACCAATCAAAGTTATGAACAATGTTAAAGTTTTTGCGGACAAACAGACAGACAGACAGACGGACGGACAGGGAAAAAACTATATACCCCCGAATCTTCGATACGGGGGCATAGAAAGGCAATTGCTTGTACTTTTTAATTAAAATTGACATAATGCAAGAAAATATCGGGGGGGGGGGGGTCTTTTGTTTTAAAAAAATAAAGGGTGCAGGCTTTGAACATATGACATAATGCAAACATATGACACGATGCATACTACATGTATATGTTACCTTTTAAAATTTTAAAGACAAATGAAAACACATTCTTTTTATACTAAAAGAGGTGCTTAATTTGATGCTGGGAATTTATCCATTATATGGCCTTTTACGTTAAACAAGTCAACACAATGATAGTAAGGTATAAATTGATGACTCAACCAACTAATTTTGCAGCTGCCGAGCATGGAAGCAACACGGATAGGCAACACAGCCTATAATAATCCTAATTAAAAAAACACGGAGAAATAGTACATGTACTAGTAAATGTTCTTTCAAAATAATACGAAAAAGATGTAAGCATAAAACCATTCCATTTTCTACTTCACTGCTGATATTGTATTATCTTCACTTTGTTGTTGTTACTTTCAGCAACACAGAGATTATCGTTTCTATCAATACACAGTCCAGAGGGAAACCTTAGTTCACAGTCTATGAGGCAGAGAAACAGCCCATTTTGGTCTATAATGTGGACACAATCATTATCAAAATCAGCTATAAGGATGTGACTTTGTTTTCTAAACCGTTTAAGAAATAGTTCATGTCTACAATGCAGAGGAATAAATTGAGGCGGTGAAGCATCTACTTTGGAGGGAAACTCTCTAAATTCCTTTATCCTTCTCTCGAAATTAAGAACCAAAAAGATGTCATTTGATTCCAGAACATCACAAGATGCTTTGATCTCATCTTCAATATTGAGTATTTTTTTATTTATTTCAGCTAAGTACTTCTTCAATACATCTTGGTGTTCAATTCTCATGTTATCAACTTCAGATGTCAGTTTTCTGACAATTTTATCTACTGCTTCGTGCCAGTTTTCGCCATGATTTGTGATAGCTTTTGAGATGTTTTTATATATTTCTTCGATCTGATTTAGCCTGTTTTGTACATCCGAGGCAATGTCATTGTAAATTGTATCAATATTCTTTCTCCTTTCTTCATTTTCTTTCTCAATCTTGTGTTTTCTAGAGGTATAAAATGTTAGAAGTTGAACAATTTTATGACTGAAATGATTTTCTGAGGCAATACAAGCTGTGCATATTGGAATATCACATTGGTTGCAGTACATTTCACATTTCTCTTTGTGGTGTAATTTACATCCAGGGTAGAGGGGGGTCGAGTTCCTATTCTGAAATTTGACAACTTTATGATCATTGGATCCATCATCTGAGATATGTTCTCCAACACAGGCCTTGCATAGGTTGATGAGGCATGTATCACAGTACATTTGCACAATGACATTCTCGAACAGATCGCATAGCAGCATGCATGGCTTTCAAAACCCCTGTCCGTATGAAAATCCCCTGTCTTTCTCTGTAACCTACAGCATTTCCACAATTATCTACGGTATATCTACAGTATGGTACGGTATGTCTCCTCTGCATATACAGTAATTCTCAGTATGCCACTGTATGTCTCCCCAGCATGCCACAGTTACCTACAGTAGGTCCCAGTACGCCTACGGTAGGCCCCAGTATGGCTACTGCTTCCTACAGTGATCTACGGTATGCCACAGTATATACCCCAGTAGGCCCCTGTATTGTTCACCGAAGCAAAACGGTAGAAGTACACAATGTTTTAAGAAGCAATGTTTCTACAGTTGAAGCTATTCATCGCTAAAAATTATTTATGAAGAAGATTATGATGATTTATAGAATTGTTTTTGTACATTACATCTCTAAAGTAATGATATACTTGCTATGTTGTAACAAATAAAATTTTAAAAAAAATAGTATAATAGATTTATTTCTGACGGGGATGATTACGGTCAATATATTAGAAATAACGATAATTAATCACTATTATTTCAAGAAAAAGTTCTGTCCTGTTGTAAGTGGCTGAGAATCTTTATATGACTTTGAATCATCGAATCATCAGCAAGGTCAGTCCGTTTTGACACATTGAATGTACATATTTGGACTTTCTTCGAACTTATTAAAAAGAAGAATTAGTTCGTATTAAGCCCGCATGTTTTTCAATCAGATAAAATGAACATGTTTGTAAAGAAGGTTTTTTTTTAATCTAGGAGTATAATTCCCGATAAAATTGTTAAAAATGATGTCATTAATAAAAATGACAGTGGCTAATGAACTGATGGACGTGATAACAAATTATTCTTCCTGACGCTTACTTGATAAAAATGAATTATAAGTCGTATTCAGATAATATTTAATTTTTATGTATTTATGTAACGAATTCAGAAACAATTATTAACAGCACTGAAATGTTATTATTCTTTTCTCTTTTTCACGTTATTTTAAAACGGCCCAGAAATCATTTGAATGTAATTTTCCATTCTTTTTTTGTTGCATTTCTGACGACTCCTAATCTGCGTTTTGATTTACGTAATATTCTGCAAAAAGTCAATCAAGTTTCGATTGTGAAATCGATCAATCATTTTCTTATTAATCTATACGCAACTTTTATAAATATTTCAAACTGCTGAGAGCTCATACTATTTATAATTGGAGGATAGTATAAAGCTTTTAAGTTTATAAGCCACCCCCTCTTGTCTCCGTAAAATACGCTAAAGACAGGACCTGATTACTTGTACACAGTTTTAGACATTAATTCTACGTCACCTTTTTGTTTAATATCGTGATGAGATTCTACATTATTTGGACCTTATCAGAACAAAATGTTCCGATTTCCGATCATAAAATTAATTAGTATGCACTTATGGTGATACAGAAGTAATTTGGTTTAAAATGAAATGAATTTATAATTCAATAATAATTTCATTAACTCTATCATCTAGTTTCAATTTTCAGACCCACTTATGATTAAGAATCATTGATCCGCCCCGCTCTTTTCTTTTATCAACTTCATTGTATGCACTGAGGCAGAACCAGGGTAGGTTCTAGTATATATATCTAATGTAATTTGCAATGGTCAGCTTAACAATAGGTCCTAATTGCCTATTGTTCTCTATCTGCGTCTGACCACTGGCGTTAGGACTAAATAAACGACTGACCACTCGTAACAAGACTGTTTTCAAATTCACTATGAAATATCAGTTTAATTTATAGTATAGATATGCTAGAAAACTTTAATTTAAAAAAAATATAAAAAAAACGAACACTGAAAAACAATATATTTACAATTATTTTGTACTTTATCCTTGCTAATACTTTCAACATCGATGTTGTTTCTTATGCGCTTCTTTAAGGGGTGTAACGCATGACTTAAAAATGTATATAAGTTTCGGCTATATAATTTCTGTTTTAAGAATATCATATATTTGTAATGTAAAATGCATTGAAAAGCAAGCACGAATGAGTATAATCGTCTTATTCATAAGTACATTGAAATAAGCAGTCATTAAATTAAGTAATTCGAGTCCAGAGAGAGAGAGAAAAAAAAACATAATTACACTTTAGATTATGCAAAATAAATGAATAAGAAGTTATTTTAAACAAAGGTCAGCGAAAACAGTTGAGAAATAAGGAAAAAAAGATCCGTACATGAACCAAAATCTTCCGTCAGTTTTATATCAAAATCTACTAATTTAAAATTTACTCTGCTTTATATGCAGTTTGTATCGTACGCTAATTGATGTGAAAAAAAAAATCGGAATATAAAACACCTGGATATATCTGTCAAACCTTTGGGAAAAAAGAAGATAATTCAATACTAAGTCTTTATTAATTCCTGAAATGCTATAAGTCGTATCATTTATTTTGAAAATTTATTTTAAATTGTGTCGTATCAAAGTCATTCTTTCTGACTATAACCTCAAGAACATACTTAGACACAAGACAGGGCACGGAAATATGCATGACTATTTTTTTTTTCTTAAACAATTCAGAGCGTCAAAAAAGAAATCTGACTTTTTAAAAACCCTAATTCCCCATTTCCTCACCCTCAAAACGGTGTCGGGGTTAAAAAAAAAAAAGATAACGTTTACCCATGGTCTATTCTGCATTACAGAAATCAGCAACATTTATAAATTCTGCTAATCATGTACATGATTCTACAGTCCATGGGCTCCTGATCAGATCATGGTCCGGTATACAAATTGGCGCAACGAACTAGCATGTTATTTTCAATTTATTCTCAGAAATCAAACACCGAAGAAAGTTTTTTTTACCTGCGATGACAAATTTCTGACTCCATTATAAATACCAAGGCACTACAGATGCATACGCTCTTTTGTCCTTTAAAAATATACATGTAGATCGATATCAAAAAAAAAAAAAAAAAAAAAAAAAAAAAAACACAGGTGCAGATCCAGAAATATTTTTCCGAGAGAAGTTTTGGTGGGCGGGTGTGTTGTTTACATCAACTATTATAATTACACTTTGCTCGATCCTGGGAAACCTATTTCATGGAGGGGAGACTCTTTAGACATTTTCGTTTCTAAATTTTCTTCAGATACACGACTCTCCTTTCTATTATATGAGGAGCCCTTGTTTCCGGGGACAAAGTAACTTTAAAAATTTTCAGAAAATTCACTTCTCTTAAATAATTCCAGGGAGGCCAAAACTCACATCCGACATAACCCCTTTACACCCGCGCATGAAATAGACCTTGAAAATTGTGACACGTGCGAATATGAATTACGATTCTCCCGGCATGTAGACTGGCCCGAAGGTGTAAAAGTTTATATTGTTTGTAAATACATGTAATTAAATAAAGACATGTCAGCAATTTCAAAATAATCAAACATTTAAAATCAATAATTCGATTATTCAACATAAATTAGAGTGGGTTATCAATTTTCCCAACACCAACGCAAGCTAAGCGAGATCGAAGTCTGATATTATTCTTTGAACTGTAATTAAGGACAAACGGATTGAAATTAAAGTCCTTGCATAATTGAATTATCTTATATTAGAATTCATTGAACTAAACAGTGAAAATAAGAATTAAATCCTGTTATACTGTAAAAGAAATTATATATATAAGAGTGAATGAAATCTTAAACATGTACGCTGTTTCTGGGGGGGGGGGGGGGGGGTAAAAATTATATTTCCATGTATACATACATCTACAATGCAAAAACGCCAAAACAAACGGAGTTGTTCACATTCGTTATTTGACACATGATATGAAATGCACGACAATGCTGGGGAAAGGATCGGACTTCCCCACCAATACCTGTTAATGTCATGTCAATGTGATACATATACATGTACATTTATCCTTCGTCTAACAGTATGCGATAAATATCGTAATATCCTAAATCCCCAATCTATAATGCTTACTTTACGAACTCCTTGCTCTTTACTACGTTATCATTATTCTAGACATAAGTATCGACAGCTAGCACTATGAACAGTAAACGAAGACTGTTCTTCAATCTAGTTACTTATTATGATTTTATGTGCTGATGTACTGCAAAGAGAATGGAAACACAAATTCTAAATTACAATTAACTTAAGATGAACAAATATAAAAGCAATTTTTTTTGTACACATGCATTTTTAGTATATACACGTCATATATATGTATATTCATCCCTGACAATTAGAAATAACCCCCCCCCCCCCCAAAAAAAAAGAAAGAAAGAAATTAATATCAAATACTGAGTAACTTTTTTTTAATTGCCACGACATGGCAAAATAATTTGTAGGGTCTCCATTTCTTGAAATTGTCGAACATGTTCAATATATTTTTAACACAGCTATAGACCTATATTGTGTTTCATAATATGAACATCACAATCACTGACACAAATAACGAATTCGTTTTAACTAGAGATTTTTCCATTAATTTAAAAAAATGTCATGCTACAGTAAACATAATCCATTCACATTGATCAAAATGTAGAAGTCAAGTCACAACAAAGTATTACACTGTACACTATTACGTTAGACTGATACAGGTAATCAGGTCAATTTGCATCGTCACTGTCACCACCCCGATCACAGAATCCATACCATTTTCTGATTTTTAGCAGGAACAAGTGGCTTGCTAAGTCTGCTTACATGGAAAAGCTGTCCTCTAACTGGATTGTCTTCCTACTAAGGATTTCGGAAAACAAATCACTGACAATTACTACGTACGTTATTGATAATGGAAGTTGTATTACCAGATTATTTACAGCCTCAATCACAGGAGTTCGCAATTTTATCAATAAAGTTAATTTTATAAATAAAGTAAAATCATTCGATTGACCTAGCATCGATTGACCTAGCATGAGCTACATGTATGCGTTAGCACAGCGAATATGCGAACGCATAACTCATGCTTGGTCAATCGAGTGATTCTATTGACTTTATTGAT